ACCTGGGACAGTGGTGTAACAGCACAACATAAAAACATACTATAAAATTCAGTTGAAAAAAGCTTAACTCATCAGATCGATATAAAGCAGAAATACATCAAACATAAACACAGACCGGACGTGGCAGGGTATTTATCCATCCCTCAACCCTAACAACAAAAAGGACACTAGGTACAGTTCTGAGACTACTCGCAGTTACTGACAGCTAGTTCAAAGCCAATAAAAACTAATAAAAAAATCATGTATCTAAGACTAAAATATCAATCAGTACACATCCAACATCCAATGGATTTAATGTTAAGACGTCATTAACAGTCAGAGAAAAACATGACCTTGTGCAATGCCAAAATAAAGGATCGACAGATTGTAGTACCGTTAAAGTGCATATGTGTATAACAAAACTATTAGTATGATTTTAATTTACTGATAACAAAATCTATATTTATACCAATAAAAACAATATTCAAAGATCTAATTACGGTGTTGAATTGGTAACCTTTTAGAATAAGTTTATTTAAAGCTGGATCGTATATAAATTTTCGGGTTCGGGAAACAACATCACCGTAGAGTTTAGGATATTCTATTCCGTCTGAAATAAGTTTTTTTACAGGTACAGCCAAACTTGACGCTTGTTTACAACTGAAGATCATATACATGTATGTAGAATCTATATGTACATCTAGATGATCATGTCTTTTAGATAAAAGGAATAACAGGAATTAACAAAAATATCTGGACGGCTACAACAGACCACACAAACACCCACCAACGGACCACTCTGAGAAAATAGAATAACATCAAATATAAACAAAAAAACGAGCAATAAATAGTCCAGATAGTCTGAATTCATTTGGTTTTGTTGTTGATGGTGTTGATGTTGATGTTGATGTTTTTGTTTTTGTTTATGTTTATGTATATGTTTATGTTTTAGTTATTGTTTGTTGTTCTTGTCTCTGGGTGACGGACATCTATCAAACAACTCCTTTTTATTATTATGCAATATGAAAAGAGCCTTCCCTTTAAGGAAAGGAAAAATAACTGTGCGGAAGGATCAGCGCCATACTGTTTTGTCAAAATCATATATATTGTATAAAAATCTCCACGGAAAATGTCTATCATTTTGCCTTTGATTCGCTATTGATTTATTTATCAATATAGAAATAAGGAGATGTGGTATGATTGCCAATGAAACAACTATCCAAGTCCAGTTCTATTTTATTTATAAAAAGAAGATGTGGTATGACTGCCAATGAGACAACTCTCCACAATAGATCAAATGACACAGAAATTAACAATCATAGATCACCGTACGGCCTTCAACAATGAGCAAAGCCCATACCGCATAGTCAGCTATAAAAGGCCCCGAAATGACAAATGTAAAACAATTCAAACGAGAAAACTAACGGCCTAATTTATGTACAAAATAATGAACGAAAAACAAATACTAGTATGTAACACAGCAACAAACGACAACCACTGAATAACAGGTTCCTGACTTGGGACAGGCACATACAGAATATGGCGGAGTTAAACTAGTTTGAAGGCGCCAACCCTCCTTCTAACCTGGGACAGTGGTGTAACAGTACAACATAAGAACAAACTGTAAAAATCAGTTGAAAAAGGATTAACTCATCAGATGGATACAAATAGAAATACATCTAACAAAAACACAAAGTGGACGTGGACGAGTACTTGTACATCCTAACAACAAAAAGACATTAAGTACAGATCTGAGAGTACTCGCAGTTACTGACAGCTAGTTCAAAGCCAATAACAACTAATAAAAAAATCATGCATCTAAGACTAAATTATCAATCAGAACGCATCTAACATCCAATGGATTTAGTGTAAAGACGTCATAAACAGTCAGAGAAAAACATGATCTTTTGCAATGCCAAGATACAGGTATCGACAGCTTGTTAAGCCATGAATGTGAATATGCATATAACAATAATATGTAGTTTGATTTTAATTTACTTAGAATAAAATCAATATTAATACCAATTAAAACAATATTCAAAGATCTAATTACAGTGTTGAATTGGTAACTTTTTCGAATAAGTTTATTTAAAGGATCGATAAGTTTACCCAGATCGTTTCTAAATTTCCGGGCTCGGAAAACATCTCCGTAAAAATGAGGATGTGCTATCCCGTTTGAAATAAGTTTTCTACAGGTACAACCAAACTTCAAAACCAAATCTTTATATCTATGGAAGAATTTAGTAAAGTTTTAAGTAATTTGTGGTAACGAAATCCCTGACTGAATAATTTACTAGTAATACATAGATTACGTTCATTAGAATCCAAAACGTCACAATAGACACGGACATAGCGAACGAGTTGTGATATATTTTATTATATAAACACTGTAAGATGGTGCCAAAGTAACATCATCACCCAAAGAAGGAAAATTAACAATAGGAACGAAATTTTAGTGTAGTGTTTCCCGTGTAAAACTGAAATGTCTAAATCTAGGAAAGGACAGTTATTACCGTTTATATTTGATTTATTCAAAGTAAGTTCCTTTGGGTAAATTTCTTCATTTTCATTTGTTTTTGTTTTTGTTTTTGTTGTTTTATTTATTTTATTCTTATACACTTTTGCATTCGGACCATTATTTTGATAATGTATAATCATGTATATAATATTGATAGTCGATCTTCTTATTGATAGAAAAAAGTAAAATAAAAAAAATACCGAACTCCAAGGAAAATTCAAATCGGAAAGTCCTTTATCAAATGGCAAAATCAAAAGCTCAATTAACACATCAAACGAATGGAAAAAAAACTGTCATATTCCTGTCTTGATACATCTTCTCATTGATAGAAACAAGTGACTGTGGATGTGGGTGTATTCGTTAACGAGATCTTACTCAATAAGACAAATAATTAAAAGACGTCTAGAGGACAACAATGATACAGCACTCAAAATTAGGCAGATGCGTTTTCTTGGTCAAGCTCTAAGTCGCCTCGATTTGACCATTCATTTTCATTTATTCGTGAGTAAATGACATATTAATGGTTGGTATTTTTCCTGGGGGGGGGGGGGGGGGGGGGGGAGGGGAGGGGGGTGTATAAATATCTCTTTTATGTTTTCCTCTTAGCAATTTTTACAGTTGTTTGTTTTGTCTTACAAGTTTATTTTCTTAACCTTTTTTGCCTCTTTTTCATTTGCTTATTTTTGTTTTGCTTATTTTTGAACTGTACTGTAGTGATATTTTTCAGTATTTTGAGTTTATTTATACTTTTGCGTTGCCGTTAACACATTAATCAATAATCAAGTTGGTTTTTTTTCATTACTTTAGTTTAGACATCAGACATCATTTTATGTTACCAATCATGGGCCCTTGTCAGGCAAGATATATAAACATCATAATACAATAATTATTATAAAACATGCGAGTTTTGTAGTGAAAATACACAATACACAAAGAAATAAAGTAAAATTTTAGCAATATATAGGATATTATTACGGTATAAAGTGTTTATAGTGTAATGAGGTCGATTTTACAAAAAATATATGATATATTGACAGGAAATGATAGAACAAGAAATATAATTTCTTTTTTTTTGTAGAAGTTCTCATCATGACCAGTTCAGAGCAGTAAGGAACTTTACATCACCACAATGCAGAGGTCATCAAGGGGCGGTCATTCAGAAACAGATACAAATATTATAATGAGATTATCCCCAATAGTTGTTCTCCTCATGACTAATGCACATCAGCAAGGGGTGGACATTGCTACTTTGCAAGATTCATCAAGGGACGGTACTCTAGAACTCACTAAGTGGAAAATTATAAAACGGAGCTTAATCCCTACAAAAGTTTTCATATTTTTTAATGAATATGCATAAATCTGATAACAATTTCTCGTCTTCATTATTTATTAATCATATAATTTTTTTGGTAGAGTCTAGTTATGTTTTTTTTAAATTGTTGCAGCAATTATTCATCATTTTTATCAAATCTTTTCGTTGGTCAGATATACGATAACAGTTAAAAAGAAAATGTGTTTCATCTTCGACCTCATTACTACTGTAACAACATGCATCTTTGACATACTCTATTGTGTCGATGAGTAGTTATATCTCTCTCTATATATATATATAAGTAAATGGTGAGCAGACATGCGTAATCTTGTTAGACTCTGTCTTTCTTCAAATTTTTGAACTTTATCGAGATATTTTTCACAACCAAAATTGGATTTAAAAGTAACATATGTATATAGTTTCCCTTCTGAGTGGTCATTGAGATGTTTTCCCCTAATCTATCAAAATGGCAATTTTATAAGTTTTCTGTTGTCTTTTGGTTTATCCCTGTAAGAGGATGTTAGACAACTATTGATCAGTGAAAAAATTTCCTTAGACGACATGTACCACGACGGTTTCTTTAACTTATAGTATAGAAAATAAGTCTTATACAATAACTTTTCTTAGATTCTAAAAAAGCATAAATAAATGGGAATTTAGTGCCAGATTTTTCTAATCTGTAAAAGTATATAATCACTGCTTTAATCATGTTAAAATATATTGGCAGTCTTCTCAACTAAGTTAACAAAGCAAAGTTGGTACTCATTTTTGGAGCTCCAAGAATAGATTTACAGAATTTAGTATGATTTTTTTCAGCAGGTAATTTAGAGTAAATATGGTCAAATGAAACGATCCTAGTTCTAAATTTAGCAGACATTGGTTTAAAGGCACCCCATATCTCTTAACTGTATAAAAGGGTATGATTTTTTTTATGTTTTGTTTTGTTTTGTTTAGATCTGTTTTGATTTTCGCGTTTTTGTGTTTGTTTTATTTTATTATGTTGTATTGTCAGTATAAAATTCAATAGCCGGCTTCCCACTTGACGGTTTTGACAAAACTACCTTGAAAACCGTCAAGTAAAATTGGGTTGTTTTTCAGAGGCAATGTGGTACCTAATTGTATTATGTCTCTTTACTTTAAAAATAAAATACAAAGAACATTTTATTTATAGTCTTTGAGGACAATAGTTATCGTCAACCTTACATAATTAGTCTTTGAGGACAATAGTTACCGCCAACCTTACATAGTACAATTTCCATCCGCATTTAACGAATTTGTTACAATCGTATTTTTTGTCCTTTCCATTCCGTCATTGGGTTCTTGTTTTACACAGTGATGCAAAACTTTCCTGCGATGGCTACTCGAGGACTGTCTTTGGTTGTCAGGCGAGTTTTTCTGCACCACAAGAAACTAGTGAAATCATCATCATTGCACAGAATTGTACAGGTATATCCTCAAATTTTACATTTTGCAACGCACACTATAAAGCTCCATTTAGGTCCCATTTTAGCCTTGATTCGTGATCCGGTCTATTTCCTCCATGCACTAAACTATGTGTAAGCAAAAGTTACGATAAAAGTTCAATTTTTTTATCGGTGACTTGATAAGTGTTGTGTATGCATCAGTAAATGTTGCATTTAGGCACCCTGCTAGTAGTTGTTGAATTGTCACAACTTGCAAAACAGTATTTGGGCATAGTTGAAGTTCTTGTCTTGTTATTTTTGAAGAGGTTAAATCCCTATCAGTATCAGTTGAAATACATAGAATAAACCTGTGTCCACCTAACATGAGTGAAAACGAATTCATTATTTTATTTTGATAGAATAAAGTTGTTTCTTATTACGAAACTAGTTATGTTTAATTGACCAGAAGTAATAAATATTTAGCACATTTCCTCATACCAGAGGGGCCTGATGGGGGGGGGGGGGTCTCATCACGATTCACGAGTTGACTTTTTTGTCAATCACGATTCACAGAAAATAAATTTCCATGATCACGGATCACGAAAATATAAAAAAAAATAAATCTGTAGAAAAACGGATCACGATAGTGAAATTGCGCCGATCACGAAGAACGAAAATAACCCATCAGGCCCCTCATACCAGGCTGGACTGTTATTTTGTTTTCTCTTAAAGTTCATTCATTCAGTGTTACATGCTATATATGTATGTAAGTGAAGTGGACTGAAAATAATTGTACTTCAGGGTACACAAGCAGGTTTTGGCAAATTTCTACAATCTAATTTTAGCTTGTATACATCATGTAAATAGCACGATTGAACTAAAAAATTATCTCCCTATGACGTTTTTCAAATGAAACACACATGTTTAAGTTTCTCAGACTGGCCAACCTTCACTATTTATGGGGGATTTCCCCCATGAGAGGTGTTGACCTGAATTTTTAAGTTCTTTATTACATAAACTAAACACCTCAAAACAGGCATTCAAATGAGTAAAAATGGTACAATGTATATAAGCACATACATACCCATTCAGACTATATAGTAGTAGAATAAAAAAACTTCTGACAATATAAGAGGAGCATTATTGGCAGGTTACGGTTTTTATATAAATATTTGGAAGTGCTGTATGAAACTTTTTCAGGCATTATAAAGAATCATAGATTGATACATCGATGACTGATTTTTTCTGTGTAATTTTTTATATCTTTTATCATGATTTACATGTATTGGGGTTATCATGGTTATTTTTCACAGTAGAGGTTAAAAAGATAATTGCATTAAAAATATTCTGCAGTGCTTCCTTTTCCATGTTATGTAATGCATTTCCAAATAACAAGAAACAGAAATTTCATTGAACATTACCAAGGTAGAATATTTTTAAGCCTGATTGAGCACCAGAGCCTCAGCATATACATGTAAAACCCAATTGAGCTATATAAGCTAGAATTTGCTGAACCTATTAAAAATAGAATAACAATCTTGAACTTTATCCAAATAAATTTGTTGTTTTACATTCTTTGATGACAGTTTCATGAATTCTCCATAATTTGTTTGGAATATTCAACATAAAACATGGATATACAATGTATACGTACACAAATTTTCAACCATGGTTAAGCCAAAATAAAAAAAGTGCTTGTGTTAATGGTCACCCTTCCAATTACCATCACATCCTTTCTAAAAGCCACTGGACATTAAGCAGGGGATAGTCAAGAAAGCAAAAGTTTCAAGACATCTTATTTTGTTCAGATGCATATTTTTTTGTTAGTACACCAAAAAACTACAGATTCAGCTTTGTATTGCAGAAAATCAGCACCCAGTTGTACTTTACCACAGTCGTAAAAATGGTCCCTTTCAAGATAAAGATTGCCACCTTTATTGAACTTTTTCTCACCAAATTGTTTTTGTTGTTGCCATGGGCAAACCGTTGTACACAGTCTTTGCACTCAACCACAGGTTCACCAGTCCAGGCTTGTAAAAATGCTGTTGGTTCTCTAAAAATCATCTCTACCTGTAGGCTTATAGAATCTACAAATGTGTTTAAACTTTGTGCTATTTCCAAAATCTTTTTTCCTGTGTGAGATTATCATGTACATCATGTATAATTTATATATAGCTATATTCCTCTATTGCCACCATTATAAATAAAACTTGAAACAGCAGGACATTGAATTTTTATCTGTACATTAACAGTTATCTACCCTGAAACTAGTTTGCAATAATCCATTAAACCTGGATTGCTTTCTTAGACTTTCATGAATATTTTTATGCCCCACCTAGGGGCATTATGTTTTTCGGTCTGTGCGTCCGTTTGTTTGTTCCCTTCGTCTGTCCCACTTCAGGTTAAAGTTTTTGGTCAAGGTAGTTTTTGATGAAGTTGAATTCAAATCAATTTGAAACTTAATACACTTAGTACACATGTTCCCTATGATATGATCTTTCTATCTAATTTAATGCCAAATTAGAGTTTTGACCCCAATTTACGGTCCACTGAACATAGAAAATGATAGTGCTAGTGGAGCGTCTGTGTACTATGGACACATTCTTATTAGTTATGCTTTGTTCCAAGAAAAAATCTTGATTAAGAATTCGACAATTTTCCAGATTTGTAGTCTGTTCTTGAGTTTTTGGACTTTAGTCACTCAAGTTTACAGTGTTTACTTTCATGACTTTAACAGATCTTAATACATATCTTACATAACATTTGGTTTATGAGGACAAGGTCCTTTTCAGTTGTGCAGATTTTTAGATTTATTAATGTTTTAGAGTAGCATAGGTTTATTCATTAAATTTTACAGGTCGAAGCATGTGTAAAAGTTTTAAATCATGAGGCCCAAAAAAGGGAACGTGTTTCACTGGTTCGTTTAGGGTTTTTCTTGACCAACCCTTATTTTGAGCCCTAAAGCAGGACCTAGGTGAAAATACAATATTTTCAGAATTTTTACCCCCAAAAAATATCAACTTCATACAACCCCTTATTATTTTGAGGTACATGTAAGAATCCCTTAACTTTCAAATTTATTTTTTTTGCCCAGTATGAACAAAAGACAGATTTTTCCTTAGCTATCAATGTGACAAATATACAATAGAACCAGATTATGGAAATACATGTATCTTTACAAAATACATATTTGTCAACTTGGGATCTGTTTATGTTATATATCTAATGGGAGCCTCCTAACATTTGAAAAAAAATGTCTTTTTAACAACCAGTTAATAATATCCTTGAGTATAGGGGGAGCATACCATACAGCCAACCTGTATTGTTTTTTAAAACTTGATGGATACATTTACTTTCTGTTTTATACTTGAAAAGCCTATCAGAAAGCTTAACCCAACGCATTTCGTTTTTCACAAATCTATCATTGTCATCAAGGGGACAAATACCTTGTAAAATTTCAGTCCCAAAAACATAACTGGCTGAATTTTGGTCTTTAAAAGTAGCACATACTACAATCTATGGATTATTTTCTTTAGTCTGATCAGTTTACCAGTAGTTGTCATATTTAAACCTCATTGAACAGTCCAGTGCATAACCATGCAGAGTTATAATATTACAGAAAATATCATGCATTTGTTATAAAATAAATGGAAGAAATATGATTCTTGTCTGCCTGGTTTTTTTGTCAAACTGTAATAATAACACATGCCAATACATGTAATATTTATTTACTTAAAGTAAAAAAAAAAAATGTAATCTTTAATAACGCTTTAAGTTTTAAGATAAATTTGTGTGAAAATGTTTTTAAATGATCTATGGTCAACTAAAAAAATTATGCAAGATTGGCATAAACAATGAATACATTGTAATAATTAATTTCTCCAACATTTAATACTGTAAATTCAGAAATTTTTGCAATGTTTTTATTATGGCGAAAATTATGACCAGATACATGTAGTTGTCACAATTAATAAATATGCATTTAGCCTTCTTTTGTATACAGCATTTCCAAAAATATAAATAATTAAACTACAAGCATTCCTTTCTTGTGCTTTATATCACAACTGTCAATGATTGTGGTCCTGTTACACATCTGTTGAATTTAAAAAAAATTATTTAAGGGTTGGTTAGTAGGTCATACATGTATCATTCACTTTGCAGAAAAAAAATATATATCCTTATTTCTGCCTCTTTCTACATTATTTCATTATACAATCATGACAATGTTACTTGTTGTGTGTCATGTAAAAAATGACAAATTATTGTCAAAGCATTATTTATACAATAAAGAATGCACCAGTAACATGATATGTTGTTTAAGCTAATTACTGGTAATTCAATTTCATTAATACATGTAACTGTATTCATTTAAGTATTGATTGTAAATATATTTTAAATATAATTTAATAATTGAAGTATTGAACTGGAAAAAGTAAAGTTGAGTATTAAATTTATTATGAAAAACTATGTGAAATATGAACATGTAGGTCCTACAATGAATTTTCCTCTAATTTTCTTCAGAGGGAGGTCTCCCTCTTTTAAGGTTTTTATATTTGACAATATACTGTTGTGCTTTAACACCACTATCCCAGGTTAGGGGAGGGTTGGCCTTCCTAAGTAAGGAGGCTGTAGTTCAGTGCTTGTCTTTGGTTCATGTCTGTCATATTTGTTTTTCGTAAATTGTTTTGTTATAATTTGGTCAATTGTAAGTTTTCATGGTTTGGCCTTGTTTCTTAGATACTATAAATGTATTTATAAATTATAAACAATAGGTCAACTACATTGTATATTGGTGTGTGTGTAATGATTGTAAGTTATATATGTCCCAGGGGTTCAAATTAGTGGGGGTCCGAGGTCCTTGACCTTCCACTGTTGCAATCAGACTTTAGTTTTGGTTACTAGGTACCTTCAATTTGTTTGATTTGAAAGTAAATAAAAATTAATTTTGCCGACCTTTTTAACCATCAGTACCGTCATTTCACAGCCATATTATTATTGAAATTGAGATAATAAAATGTTTCATCCCAAACCTTGCCAACGAGT